CAACTCTCTACCCTTATGTGGGCCGTGCGTTGTCCACCATTGCAGGGGGCGCCCTGGACATTTTGGGCTGTGTCTGTCTTCCACTCACCTGGCATAACCACGTGTTCCCATCTAGTTTTGTCGTCTGAATTTAATTCTGACTTAAATTCTACCCGGGCCGGTCCCGCTGACAAAAAGACGCCGTGACCGAGACATGTACCCCTCCGGTTGCCGGCAGTCCACCGGGACACATTTGTTACGTAACAGACCAGATGAACAGAATAAAGATGTATACTTCGTAAACCCGGGTAAAAAGTGTGACGCCACAGATCAAATGATCACAACAGAAGCTTGAATTCTGCATTACGTATAGGTCAGTACAAGACATCGTCAGAGAATCTGCCGGGTACCTGCCGGGTGCCTGCCGGAGACCGACCAAAGAGGGTTACAAAATTTTTAACAAAATGCTACTGAAGGAAACTTTTAATTGTGACCATGACAGCCGATGCTCGCCCGACTCCTGAGCCCGACCGGGGCCGGCCGGGGCTACATCCCCGACGGGCATCGGTGCAATTGAGACCGAAGCTTTAGTAGGGACTGATTTTCTTCTGGCTCACGGGGCCAAACTCTCGTTGCGCAATCGTGAGATGACACTCTGGGGGCCACAGGGCGTAGTCTCCATTCCGGTCTTCCGTAGGGCAGCGGGCGATGTCCGTCGAGTGGTTACTCGAAATTCTTACCTCGTGCCTCCGCGCTCCGTTCAACTGGTCCCCGGCAAAATTGTAGGGAAACGCGCCGAGTCAACACGTGGTTCTGGTTATGTTAATCCGGCCCTCGCGTCCTTAGGTAAGTATGGCCTGACAGGAGAGTTGATCTCCCACACTCCCGCGAGAAGCACCACCAGAGTATTTGTTGTTAACGAAACTCTCGAACCCGTCTTAATCCGCCCTGGTGCCGTGATCGCGCTTTTTCACCCTTTTGACAGTCCGACGTCCCGCGGAGTCTCTATCAGCCCGACTACTCCTGTCCCCATGGCCCCCGCCATAACCCCCAACCCTTCCTCCCCTTCCCCCTCTGCTTCCCCCCCCCCTCCCAAGGCTCCACCCACTCCCCTACTATCCGTGCCGAAATGGAGAGCTTGTTTGATCTGTCCGACATTGAAAACCCTGCCCACAAAGAGCGGCTCCTCGACTTGCTGGTCGAATATGAAGACATAGTCTCTCGTTCCTCGCATGACATATCCACTACCCCTGTGATTACTCACTCTATCGAGACGGGGGACGCCGCCCCGATTCGCCTTCCCCCACGCCACACCTCTCCCCAGGCTAAGGAGCTGATTCGTCACGAGCTAGATAAACTGACGTCACTGGGGTTTATTGAGCCTTCAAATACTCCTTGGGGGCCCCCATCGTACTGGTTAAGAAGAAGAATGGAGACACCAGGATTTGTGTCGACTATAGGGCCCTTAACTCGGTGACGAAGAAATGCTTCTGGCCTCTCCCCCGTATTGACGATACCCTTGATGCTCTTCCCGGCTCCAAATTGTTCTCCACCCTAGATATGAGGTCGGGATACCACCAAATCCCGGTCGACCCTGCGTCGGTTAAAAAAAACGCGTTCACCAGTCCTTTCGGAACCTATTAGTATACGGCCTTACCGTTCGGTCTTTGCAACGCGCCGTCGTCCTTTGCCCGACTGATGGAATCTGTATTGCGCGGCTTGCAACCACAGTGTTGTTAAGCATATCTTGATGGCAATATAGTACATTCTGACGATGACGTCACGGCCCACCTTAACAATATGCGGGCCGTCTTCCAGCGGTACCGTGAAGCGCGTCTGAAACTAGACCCCGAGAAATGTCGTTTCCTCCAACGCCGGGTGGAGTTCTTGGGCCGTGTTATCTCCTTTAACGGAGTCAGTACAGACTCCTCGAAGACAGACGCCATCGATAGCTGGCCCACCCCGCGCTCAGTTCGCGACATTCAGCGTTTCTTAGGCCTCGCGAACTACTATTTTCGGTTTGTCCGCGGGTTTGCACAACTCACCCGGCCATTGACAGTTCTGACTCGGAAAGGCGCCCGGTTTGTTTGGTCCCCTGACTGCCAGGCGGCATTTAACGCCCTTAAGAAGGCCCTGGTCACCGCTCCGGTCCTGGCCTATCCGAACTTCGATCTACCTTTTGTTGTAGATACCTATGCTTCGGACACGGGAATCGGGGGCGTCCTGAGTCAGATCCAAGACGGTCAAGAACGGGCAATATTGTATTAAAGCAGGGCCCTCACGCCAGCGGAACAGCGGTACAGCACGCACCGCCGGGAGATGCTGGCCGTGGTAGCCTTTCTCCTTCGCACGGACAACATCGCCGTGAGATACCTGTTGAGAAACAAGAACCCCACCGGCAGTCTGCATTTATCAAGTATTGTCCATAGTTTGTTTTTAAAGGAGCTAATGGGGAGGGCTGTTCGGGTTTCGCTAGGGAGAGCATTCCAGATGGCTATAGCTCTGATCACAAATGTTCTCTGGGACCTGGTGGTTCTACAAACGGGTATGGATAAGTGTTCACTATTCCGTAAGGGATACCGGGATTCTGTGGCGGACGCTCGCGCTCGAGGTAGCAGACTTTGCAGGTTTGGAGGACAGCGACCGTTCAACAGTTTGTACATGGTTACTGCAGTGTGAAACTTGCGTCGAAACTGGAGGGATGGTAGAGACATTTCTATGTAGAGACTATTGTAGGAAGGGTATGGGAGCCCAAAGTGACCACTGATAAGCCTGGCTGTTTGGTACTGAACAGATTCTAAAGTCCTTTGGTCACGTAAAGTGAGGCCAGCCCAGATAATATCCGCGTACTCTAACGTAGGTCTTGTAATGGTGATGTACAGCCGGAGTAGTGCGTTTTGGGGAATTTTCCTTCTTAGGGCACATAACAGTCCTGAAGAACGTCTTGCTTTTGTAGAGATGACCTCGATGTGTTGTGACCAGGACAGGGTATTCGTGAGAGTGACACCTAAGTGTTTGTGGCTGCTGACAACTTGCAGTACAGTTCCTCCTAGGGTCACAGGGGGAATCGGTTGTGGTAGAGTACGAGTTGTAATGAACATGACTTTGCACTTGTCTATGTTGGCTTCTAGTTTCCATGTAGAAAGCCAGGTCGACACAGTACTCAACTCTAGGTTCAGTGTTGCAACTACGCGTTGAACAGAATGATGGGAGAATGACAGAGATGTGTTGTCGGCAAATAAGTTGGCCAGACATTCTGTACGGCTGGTGGCAAGGTCATCGATGTAAAGAATGAAAAGCGTTGGTCCTAGGACGGAACCTTGCGGTACTCCGGCTAATGGGGACTTCCATGCAGACGTTGTTTTACCGTTGAGCACAGGGCCGGCACGAGTCATGGCAATGCCGATGCTCTCAGTCGCCACCCCTGCACTCAATGTGGCGCGGACGACAACGCCCTAGATATGTCCGACACCCCGTTGTGCGTGAACCGCCCTCAGATCAACAATGGCAGGTCAGACACTGGTCCCCAACCAATTCCATTGTGTCCCCCGCAAGACTTGGTGGCTAAGCAGCGCGACGACCCGATCCTGGGACAACTTGTGACTGACAAGGCCAAGAACGTCAAACCCGTGGCCGCCGGCTGGCAGGCCCTAACGCGGGACCCACGTGCGCTATACGGCGACTGGGATAATTTTTTTTCTTTCCACGATACCAAGTGTCGTGGTCTTTATTTCAAAATATTTACATAAGATTACATACGGTACATAAGATTTACGGAATATACAGTATTTCAATCACAATCTATAAGACACAGAAGATCTCCCCATTTTCTTTTTGCGTCCATGTATGATATATTTTGTTCTATTTTTTAAGATTGAAGTAAGGTCAGTTAGAAAAACAGATCTATTTCATTATAACAATCTTTGTCCTTATAAGTGCACCAGTTTCTAAATATAGCGTACATTGCTATTTTAATAGCTATTGTATGATTAGTTGCACTTGATTTTTGTTGGTTCTGTGGACATCCAGATAACAGTGCTTCAACATTGATATCCTTAATACCATTCTTGAGTTTGAGTTTTGAGGGGGGGAGCTCATTCGCCCCCCTTAGGCAGGTCACTTTTAAAATGCTGGAATATGCTTATAATAAAAAAAACGGACCAGGAATAGGTGATTGTTATGGTCAGATGGCTGGCTAAAAGTGGCAGGTTTGAATGACAATACTTGCTCTTTTAGCTTTAAATAAACAGACTTAGAACAACTCAGAAAAACCTACTGTGATTAACTATGCTATTTGTTATATGTTCAGGAAAAAGCATATTCTTAACCTTGTTGTACTCCTCCAACAATACCTTTGTAGTTGGTCGTTGGCTGGGGTCCCTATTTTGACACTGTTGGTGCACTTTGAACAAATGTGATCTGACAACATCACTTCCATTTACATTTCCCAGTAAGTAGTCAACAACATATGGAATTTTCCAAATATCAGTTTTTTCATCATAAGAAGGCATTCTTAAGTAATTATATGTTTCATTTCCAAAGGGCCAAAGCTCCTCTGGGGCAACATACTTTGACCAAGTTCTTCTTCGTCTACACTTAATTAAAAGATGTGCTTCATGATTTACTTCTGGTATCACATCCACGTCACTCAAGACAAGTTTGAAATCCTGTGTGATAAGAAACTGGGTTAGAGTTTTGCGGACATTGTGTGAGTCGCACATGACTCGTGTGCCAAGTGGACTATTGTGTAGGAAATGTATAGCTTCTAGGTAACTCAGAGCCATGTTAAATCTTGTCCGGACATTGTTAAACTTGCTGTATGCGTTCGACTTTAGGATATTCTCAATAAACTCTCCAGATCCTAATTGATAAAACTCTGTAAGGAGAGTTGTGTTGCATGATCCCACATACTGCAAAACAGAAGGGTGTTGCAGGGCCTTCAGCATCTCTATACCTTGCAAGAAGAACTTGAGATGAGTTGGCCTCCACAGCTTACTATAGGCCACTGTGTGGTTTCTCCAGATAGCTTTGTAAACCTACAAAGTGCAGAAAGGATGTATATTGTAGTTCTATACAGCATATAGTAAAATGCATATTAAGTCATGTCTGTGTTGTGGTGTAGTAACCTGCACGCTCTACATACTTAAAGTCGATGGCCTAGATTGCACCCGATTCGGACACGATTAGATGTTTCATTGTCCTTTTGGATGTGGACGCTTGCACAGTGTACAAGGAAGATTATTACATCAAGCCTCTATACATAAAAGGACCCAACACACTGTATTCAGAAGATTTAGAGTAGGGGTATACGACAACATACTTGAGCTGTAGTAAAGATTATAAACAAATCCCCATTGCACTACTTATGCAATGCTTCGTCCTCAGTCTGACGTTGCCCACCTTTGTAATTTGTTATATAACGTTTTACATCTAAGATACCAGCTGTTTCCCCTTTGACAAACATACAGTTATGTTTCCTTGATATACTGATCTACAAATGAGAAGTATGTTACATGTATGACTTATCAGACATGCATGTTGCTGACTTGCATGTACCATTATTTAGTACACATATGAAAATTGTTCAAGATCTGATCGAAATGGGAAAACACAAATCATTGATGGTTTTCTGAATTGGGCACCTCACACAGTATTATAATCTAAAAAGAGAAAAAAAAGTTGTAATCTGGAAATAGCCTGTAACATATATTATGATTGTTAATGCTAGCTGCACCTCTACTACTAGAATTAGCTAGCCGACAGAAATTTTACGTCTACACTCGCCTACAACAGGGTATAGCATTAAAACAATAGGTGCATAATCAATTAGAAACGTAACAATACCGTTACCTCCTTAATACCGCCTGATCCGACTCTGTCCAGAGTGGTCACCTCATTCGTTATCTCTTTACAACCTAGCCATGGCATACAAGTTTCCATCGTGGACACTCGGAAACTTCCCGGCGGGCACAACTTCCTCTGTCTAGGCTGGTCCACTCCCAACCCTGCCACAGTCGCAACATCCGGATTGGACCTGGACTCTTGGACTTTTCCTTGTCTTTCCTGACCCAACAGTTCATCGACCTCGTAGTTGAAGAAGCCACTAGCAGGCTGCAGAGATCCTGACCAGAACCACGGCAGTAGGTAGAGAAGCAGCAGAGTAAGGAGAATGGGACAGACCACACGTGGCTTACATGCACGACCCATCGTTTAGGAGTAACTCTGACCTGTAATAGGTTTTCAGTACAATTAGTACTTAATCTATCATATTATAGAATAAAATGACATCGAACTTGACCCAAAAATGACACGGTGAGTGGATACAGTAGGGTAGCCTGGGTGCCATCCTGGTTATTTTACGTCCGCTTCCACAGTCGCTCCTCATGGTTTTGAGCGACTGTGGGAACTGACGTAAACTAAGCAAGACGGCACCCAGGCTAACAGTAGTATTGTAGTTGAAAAAATATCTACATTATAGTTAGATACGAGGACATGAACAGTTTCTGCAGTGCTATTGGTTAGATTCTGTCCCAGTGTAGACACTTAAGCAATCTCAAGGTTTTAAACAATCTGGAGATTTTTTAAGTCATCTTAAAATTAATGTTTGAACTTTGTGTCATATCAATATTTCCCGAAAGGTTTTTCCGAGAGGATAATTGAGAAAATGGTTGACGGTCGTCGTGATTTTTTGGTGCGTAGGTAGCTAAAGTGATGCTTGGGAAGACTACATTACAATTATGCAAATTGGAATCTAACTTGCATGATAAATGAGGAAATTCTATCAGTCCGTTATTTTCAATGTAAGGTTATGAAGCACTTATGACATATGTAATTTGAGAACGAAGATTTCCATAACCTAGCCTCGTGCATAAAAAAGGAATACAGATTCAGTTTTAGGGTTTCCCGCGGACCCCACGTGTACAGATTAATCAGTCTGGGAAGGTGTACTGTTGAGGGTTAACCAAGAATCAAAACTAACTTACAAACTGTAATTTAAAAGCACTAAATTTGAATTGGATGTCGGTATTAGTTTGTACACGATTGCCTGTATGTAACTGCGCCATACTGCCATTGCTAGATAATAAATCAAAATACTGCGATACCCGTCTGACACGGTGGTCCCGTCGCTACGTTAAAATCATCGTTGCTAAGCAAATAGGCCCCGCCCACAACCCGGTGCGCAGTGACCAGCGGCAGTGTTCAGATAAACAACACAAATTTTGCCCAAAATAACGCACGATGAGATTATCCATACTGTAAACTTTAGGACCTTTAAATCTCATTCCTCTTGTAAGATTTTTGTTGTCTGTGAGTTTGTAACTTATTTTGTCGATTTTCTAGTATGTTTTCTCCCATAATTCCATAACGACGCAAGAGAATCAAGTCATTTTTTCCAAGATGGTGGCCAGATGTTTATTTTTCCGATTGGTGTATTTTTTATTGGATTCTAGCGATAGGATCGGGAGATATTGCTCAAAATACATGTTCTGTGTTTTAGTTTAAAATTCACGTGGAACAGAGGGTTTGTTTTAGAGTTATAATGAGGTCGCCGGTGGATATCAGAGCGGTTCGTTCTCACCTTTCTCCCGGGAAGGCCAGTGAAATGGAAATTTCGACCAGCGTGGCGCTATTCTTCTCCTCCCGGGCGCGAGTTTTAAAGACAACAGTACGGTGGCTCGATGCAAATCAATTGCGATACTGGCCATCTGTAGTTTGAGAAGATTTTCTTAGGCAGTTCATGGAATTTTTCGAGTCGTATATATCGTATATATCGGGGAAAGTTCATATTCCCCCAAGTGGACGCCTATCATTGTACAACGAACAGAAGTCAAAACTACGCCGCGGTAGCGAACGAGAATAAAATTTGCTTCCCCACCGTATGTTTTTTAAGCTTCTTGGGTTATTTGTGCGACATCATATGGTAAATCTAAAACTATCCCAACGTGCAAACGTACCGAAGTCGTCGGTTGCAACCTGAAGCTCCTTGGTTGGAAGAAATGATTTTGACAAAAATCACAAAAGCTTTGTGTCGGCACGCGCGAGTAACTGAAACATAGCATCGACAGTGATCGACCAAAATGGTTGCTAGAGATAGAACGCTGAACATTGCCTTCAATGTGTTATTTTGGATTTGAAATGCATTTAGGTGTATAACCTCCTTTGCTACACGAATTAAAGAAAAAACATGGGGATATAAAATATGGGTTTATAAACTGTGAAACAAAAGGGCGTCGGTTTGTTAACAAAGGACAAAGGATGGAACCGATCTAATCCAGATATGTTGTAAAACAACTCTCGCTTCAGCCGACTTTCTTCTAAAACTAATTAAGATTTACTATTATACTTGTACTATTTCTAAAATCTACTTAGTACGGTTATGTTTCTTTTAACCTCCATGAAAAATGGAGGTATTGTTTTGGGCGTGTCTGTGTGTGTGTGTGTGTGTGTGTGTGTGTATGTGTTCCCGCAACTTTGTAGTCAGCATAACTTCATAACGCCTTTATGGATTGTGATGATATTTGGTCTGCTGATAAGTTTTAGGAAGACAAAGGTCAAGGTCAAATATGGGGCCTCCTGGTGGATGACCTTGGTACTGCAGCAGAACTTCCGGTTTTTGTATCTTTTGTTCTGAACATGCTATGGTCTTGACTTTTTGGTGGCAGATAGCTTTTTCTGTTAGGAATAACTGGTGTAAGTTTGATTCCCCTAGCAGCTTGTTCTGGAACTGCAGGGGACTTTTGGGCGAAATTTTTAAAAGCCAATAAGTCCAGATAGGAACAATGTGTTTTCATCATATTTGTTGTGTAGGTAGCTGAGATAGAGTTGTACAAAAATTGCAAATTTTGCAAATTAGGACTTAATTTGCATAATTAAATCTATAATTACAGTGTTTTATATAATAGTTCTTTTATACATGCAATCTATCTAATCTGTGGCAAGAGGAATATCAACAGATACTAATTATGCTAATGAAGACCTTATTTGCATAATTAATGTGAAAATTCTGTGACTCCTTATTGGTGAATGATGGGAATTATACCTCGTGACATGTGCAACATTAACACCACTAAACATATATTATGTTAATGTAGATGTCATTTGCATAAATAATGAGGACATGTTGAAATGAAGTATGACAAAGCAAGCCCATAGCTTTTCCTTTTAGAAATAAGTGGTGTGGGTTTGAACCCCCTAGCAGCTTGTTCTGGAACTGCAGGGGACTTTCGGGCGAAATCTTTAAAAGCCAATAAGTCCAGATAGGAACAACATATTTTCATCATTTTGGTAGGTAGGTAGCTGAGAGAGAGAGAGATGTACACGATTACATGCAAATTGTGTAAATGAGAACCTAATTTGCATAATTAATGAGGAAATTCTATAATTACAGTGTTTTACATTATAGTACGTTCATACATGTAATATACATAATCTATGGCAGATAGAACATCAACAGCTACCAATTATGCAAATGATGACCTAATTTGCATAATTATTGCGAAAGTTATGATTTCTTAATGGTGAATGATGGCAATTTTGTACCTTGTACCATGTGTAGGTTACTTAAATATTAACAAACCATTATGGTCTAAAAAGGGGTAGCCTCGTAACCCCTGCTTCTCCTATTGGGTCAGTTAGTCCTCGCTACTTGTGAGGATGTTTCTGACTCAGGGAGAAGAGTTGCTGTTACAGTTACAGGCTAGCTCTATGCCTAGAAGTGGCCAATGGCCTTGCATTGAGCGACACCGTTAAAAAAACAACACTATGCTTATATTATGTTAATATAGAGGTAGTTTGCATAATTAATGAGGAATTATAAATGAGGATGTTCAAATGAAATACTGCAAAAGAAAGGATACACGAAAAATATTGTAAGTTGAGTTTAGAACACCATAAATTAATCTCATCATCATCATCATCGTCCGGCTGCGGAGCAGTCGACCACAAGTCTTCCCCACGACCGTCGATCCGCCGCCAGGTTGGCAATGTCCTCTGGCCGCAGGTCACCCTCGGTGTCCCCCAACAGGTTCCGGACGTAGCCCAGGTAGTCGAGTCGCTGGCGCCCTGGGCGCCTTTTGCCGTGCGTCGGTACATACAGGGCATATGTTCGGCATGGTTCCGACATTTGCATTAATCTACATTATATTTATTGTCACCTTATTTCCATATTCAATGAAACAAAACATTTACATAAACTCTACATATTTCATGGAGGTATGAGATCTCAGAATTCTTGTCGGTAGATGTTCTTGAATAATCACTCGAGTCTGGTCTTTTTAGAGATAGTCTAGATGTTGTGTCATGCGGCCGATACCGGCACGTTCCGTGCTGTCTGAAGTATGCAGTAGCGCGGTCAAGGCCGACTGGACCCGGGGAACTTTAATCCCTGTGGAAGTTTTTAGTGTGTTGAATTAAGAAATAAGACAAATTGTAGCACAGTTGCGAATTATTGTTGGTGGCATAAGGAAACTAAACATGGCTTGAATGAGAGTTGGGGCATTGTTTATTGTGTGAATTAAAGAACAATAGGGGCGGGGAAAGACGCGCATATGAAAGGACAAGATCGCGGGATCACCAAAACATGTCAAGTCCCCGCCCGCTAAAGCGTGAACCAATCAGCTATTGTTGCCAATAGTGAAATGACTGATTGACACCGATTTCTCATTAATATTAATGACTTCAAAGTGATGATTTTAATGGCCTTTTTGACCATCGTGTATTTATATACACCTGGGGTCAGTTTTGACCCCATACGGTTGTTTGAGAATTAATACAGCACAGTTGATCATTTGAGCATTATAGTTGTAAGAAAAAGATGTATAATTTGTATGTGGTAAAACTTCTAATGTTTATTTACATACTTTTAGAAAAAGTAACTGCCATTTTATGTTTCTATGCTTATCAAATAAATATTTCTGAGCTTTCCCAGAGCACATTTCTTGTGCTTGTAATTCTGGGGAGTGATATGACGTGATAAGTATATAAATATAAGTAAATGTCGGTAAATACGGCAAACCGTTCTGGTAAGGGCATGTGCGCGTAAATACGGGTAAATTCAATTAATGTCAGAAATACCACGCTCGGTAAATCTCGGTAAATGCCTGAATGGCATGTGAGAAATACCACAGATGGTAAATCTCGCTAACTACATGTGAGAAATAGCTTGTATGGTAAATGTCGCTAAATACGTATTTACATGAAACCTGTAAGGCCACACCAATTTAATTTGTTGGTTCTCGGAATCTTTCAGAAAAAAATCTGAAGAGACAGGAAGAGAAAAAACAGGTCTAGGCATCCTATAATAGCCACAAATGCTACGATAGGAGCCATGAAGTCAACACAAAAGGATGGGTGAATATTTCAATATGTAATTTGAACTATTAATCAAACTACTGCATTGGTGGATGGAAAAACAAGTAGGAAGAAAAGGACTTTCCCTAACTGTTGGGGGGGGGGGCATGAGCATTTTTGAGTTGATTCAGAACCAGAATTTTTTTTGCAAATCAGAAACAAGAGTTCCGAAATCTCATACCTCCATGAAATATGGGCTTGATAAGTAAATATAAATTTCTTCTTTAATTACGCAAATGACTTCTGCATTAACATAATATATGCATCGTGATGTTAACTTTTGATTAACTTAAAGATGTCCCAAGTATCACATTCCCATCATTCACCATTAAGAAATCATAGATTTTTTGCATTAATTATGCAAATTAGGACATCATTTGCATAATAAGTATCTGTTGATGTTCCATCTGCCATAGGTTACATACAGTACATGTATGAAAGTTCTATAATGTAAAACACTGTAATTATAGAATTTCCTCATTAATTATGCAAATATGGTTCTCATTTACATAATTTGCTGTTAATTATGTACATCTCTATGTCAGATACCTACACACCAAAAATGATAAAAATACGCTGTTCCTATCTGGACTTATTGGCTTTTAAAGATTTCGCCCGAAAGTCCCCTGCAGTTCCTGAACAAGCTGCTAGGAGGACCAAACCCACACCACTTATTCCTGACAGGAAAAGCTATCTGTCACCAAAAATTCAAGACCATAGCATGTTCAAAACCAAAGATACAAAAACCGGATGTTCTGCTGCAGTACCAAGGTCATCCACCAGGAGGCCCATATTTGACCTTGAGCTTTGTCTTCCTAAGACTTATCAGCATACCAAATATAATCACAATCCATAAAGGCGTTATGAAGTTATGCTGACTACAAAGTTGCGGAAACACACACAGACACACACACAGACACACACAGACACACAGACACACACCGCCAAAAACAATACCTCCATTTTTCATGGAGGTAAAAAGCCAAGAGGCGAAACCGAGAACAAATTAAATTGGTTCGGCCTAAATATAGGAAATAAGGCAAACATTACCAGCTATACCGTGCGGGTAGATACCACGTCTTTACATCACGGTTACCTTTGTGGTAAATCCCACGTTTCGTGCTGTGTCTGAGAAGTGTCGACGTGTAAACTGATTCGCACCACTACTCACTCTGTTTGTTGTGATACGCAAGAGCCACGTCGCTAAGTACTCATACACGTAGCAATAACCCGTGACCGTTACTACTTTAACTAGTTCAATACGGTATAGTAACGTAGAATATCGGTAATTAGATCTAGTCTTAGTTTTTATGCGAAAATTCTTAACGATAAAACAAAATGCTTGACTCAAAAGGGAGCAATTTAACGGCTGCTACACCGAATCCTGAAACAATATAGTGTTTTCTTTTGTGTGGTAACGCTGTCACATTAATACTGAAAAATTAAAATCAAGTCATCATAAAAATACTAGGAAGTGTAACTGATCTTTGTGTCTTTTATTGTAGACGTTTGAATAAACGCCCGAGATCAAATAGTACCAGTTTGTAAAAAAGTGGAAACAGTGTAACATCACCGACCGTAGAATGCACTTTTAGCACTATGAATGTCATTACATGAAAACACTGTCGTGCTGGAAACACTTTCTGTACGCAAATGAAAAGAAACATTACTTTCACCACTGGGATAGAAACATTGTAAAATACCAATAGGGTTAACTATAAGTATCGGTGGAAGGGAAGAACTACCAACGATAATATTGGATACGATGTGGTAAGAGCAAGATATAGAGAGAGATCATGTCAGCACATATAACAGGTCAATATAAGGGAAATAAAAATATCAGAACTAGTATAGAATCCTAAGAATATTAGTACAGGACTTACCGGAGTATCAGCGACGGATACTGAAGTAAAAACTACCGCAAGCGGCTGGATCTCTGTGCACACTAAAAATGTTCAAACACTGATATTATGGGCGGTCTCTGAGGTGTGCCAACGTGTAAGCTGATCCTTATCTCTATGTTGTTTGTTGTTACTGCCGTGGTATAGGCAAGCTGCAGAGTAAACGTACATGTCATGTCATGGAGTGGACGAAGCTTTCAGGGGTAAGTTAACCAGTAAAAATTAATTCGAGTACCTTGTGGTATGTTTCGGGACAAATTTTGTCAATTTTTCACCTGCCATGACTTTCAACAGCCTAAAACCTTGACGCACGCAGGGAAACCAAGTTGATGGAAGGGTTTGCTTGTTAGATCTCCCCCTTATACAATACAAAAATTGTCTTTTTTGCCTGCATTCTCGTAAATTTAGAATAATAGGAAACAATTCGCAAAGAAGTCAGTATGATTTTGTTTTATCTATAGACTGTTACCATACAGCCATTAGTGTAAGTGTATATATAATAAAGATGTATCCTGTTTGAAACTAAACATGGGATTTGCCCAAAGCAAACGTCCCGGTACACCGTATAATGATGTATAGGCACATGACTGAGCTGGATGTGCTTTCATTACGTCAATGATAATTATTATTGTACAAAACTGACGGCTGCAAGCCAAACGGGCGGCCAGGATGAATTCTCCCACGGCAGAGCTATCCCGCGGCAAATACGTCTTGGGATTAGTGGTAAGGAAGCACCCCTGGCGTGGGAGGATGCCAGGATGTTGATAGTATACATATACTGGCCCGAATAGTAAGCCCCTTAACTCATGATACACAGTATCTTTCAATGTAACAAACATTTAAACAAAGTATACTGACCGCTACAAGCCAAACGGGCGGCCAGGATGTTAATAGTATACAATACTGGCCCGAATAGAGTTACCAACGGCTCCTTATTGTCGCTAACTACCGTTGACTACACAGAGCCAGGCCAGATCCTCGAATATCAAGTCGATGTGGCCTAAGGGTTAAAGACCTGCGCCCATATACTATTAGGTACAGTGTACTATATACTGGACGTGCGAAAGATGTTCCTACTTGACCGAAGAAATTTACTCTGCTCTACCCTACTCTTCTCTACTCATACAAAGGCCCATAAGTGCAATTGACAGACAATTACTAATGTGGAAATATATGCTTAGAGAATGTCTAGTGCTTACATGTCTAATTTTAATGAACAGAATTTTAATGCAGACAAGAGAATATGACAAACTAGAGTTCGGAGGTCTCATGTCTTCGACAGTGTGATATTGTTTTGGTGGGTGTTGTGTGTGTATGTATAGTGTAGGCTTTTTGAAGATGATTATCGTAGTTATAGTGGTCAGAGAGTCTTTTTGTTAACGAAGCAACATACTATTTACCAAGCCTGTACCATGTCTTTCTACGAAAATACGGAATGTAGAATTCGTCATTTGGTACAGGGGTGCCTTGAGCATATGCTCAAAGAATGACATTTGCAACTTTGGCATACATCACTTCAAAATGGTGTGAAACAGGTCTCTTCTGCTATTTTCAGACAAAAAATGTAAATTTTTGGCTCCTGCGACCTAATATTACAACCAAATGACCTAAAATTTGGTATAGGAGTGCCCTTGACGTATGCGTAAAGAACTATACTCAAATTTTTGGTAAACAATACTTTTAATTTGTGTAAACTAAGTTTTTCTGCCCTTTCCAGACAAAATGCTTTTACAGTACAGATCGCGGGATAAGAATAATCGGGATTCGGGATTTTGTGGGATATCCCGCGGGAGTTTGAGGGATATCACGCGGGAGATTGCGGGATCTCCCGCGGTATTCTTTCGGGAGACCTGTCGTGTCCCGCGTACCGCGTAGCGAAAAAACTTGGTGCGAGACCCCGAAGTCTACCGCGGCTCCGAACGCCGATGGCGGCGTGCCAAATGTTTATTTTTACGTCCTGTCGGGCGATCTGTGCCGGGCCGATGGAGTCTGACACCAGTCAACTTTGCTACAATTCTTATTTAATGGTGGTGAAGCACAGGAATGTACGAAAATAATGTGTATAATGTGTTTCTCACGCGGTCATAGTTAAACTGCTTTTTTTCAAAGCTATTGTTCAACGCAAACTTTAAGAAACTACCGTGAATGAATACCATGTAACGTGTAGTAATCCCTTTGTGTCCAGTGAATTCGGCAAGACTGTTACCAAGAGAGAAAAATTATGAGGCGTACCAGCAGTAGTTGTGGTTGTTGTGTTTCATAATCTTGTAGCTGTTGAGGTCTTCTCATGGGTAGCTTGCGTCAAGAAGTCTCCGTATTAGTATTAAGAATTGCGACAATTGAAAGCTTGCCCATCAAAATCCTGGGGCGTGCGTCTCCCCCTCCCCAAAACTCTTGCATCATAACAACGACCATGTCCATAATTCCATGCTATCACCCTGAAAGCGAAGTACTCCCACATGGCTGGCAAAGTTTCGTTCGGTAGGAAAACATTCTACTTCTGTCAGCTGCGGGGTCAGCCAACTAGATGAAAACGGAATCGATTTTTTAAACAGAACAACGCTATAACGTAGCGCACGTCCAAGACACGGCGCGGTAGAACCCGAAAAATAAATAAACACGGGAGAACCCGAACTAAACGTGTTTATGCAAAATTTGACGCAGATTAATTCGTTCTCAGACCATAAAACTTGAAATTCACTCGGTACACTCCGTGGAAGTAGCCTCCTCACATGTGAAAATGTTGTTTTGAGATGAAATCGGGATATAAGAAAGTTACAATGCCGCATGCCGGCCGTGCAGGGCGGAAAAAGAAGCTACAATCCGACGTATAACAACCGTCAAGCGGTGTTTCTGTGGGGCGGCGCATCTGACTCAACTCTTTGAGGTCGCAGAACACAGTATTTATGGGCGACCCCCTGACGCGGGTATAGAAAGTAGTGCAGACAAACCTCTTGCATCCTGGCTAGAGCGACTTATGTGAGAGGTAGCCACGAATGAACTGCACTGTGTGGTAAGGAAAGGTATCGGCTTGTACACCGTATGGGTTGGATTGTGAAGATTTCCCTGTTCGTGTATAAATGCGCGGCATTACGCAACAACGTTCCATGGTGAGCTGGCTGTAGTTCCGTTGACCCCGGTAGAGGGTCAAATCAAAGTGGTCGTCATTATGTTAAGAAACGATAACTTTTTTTAGTTTCAGTTATTTTGTAGAATATACCGTATATTTCAACATATTAGTTGGACGTGATTGTCTAGTGCACCCTACTATAATTTTTACCATGTCGAAGTGAGTCACCTCGGGGTGCTTAACTTTAGGAATCCCCATAGGGCGAAAACTGTGTTCTGCCACCTTGAATTCTCGGCCCGGCTGGTGAGCGGGTCCCCGTCTACACGCTGTGATTGGCGCGCCAGAACGCCACGTGGTCTGTCGGCGCCGGGGAGTCTGCCGCTGCTGCCTACATGCGGTTTCTATGGCGACGCGGCGTGGGAACGCCCGGTCCAATACTGGGGGCCTGCATGCCCTTTTTCGTAAGGCGTAATCAGAACTTTTTTTTTTATTCATTGTCTTCGTAAACCGTAGGCAACCTTCCCAAAAATCAACGTAATTCGAAATCAGTACATTAGCCACAAAGCGTAAAGTCGTAATCAGCTCTGAAACTTTAACTTTATAGCGAAAATATTGTGTGTAATTCGTAATCACTAACCCCCATGCAGGCCCTCAACACTGCGTGGCGCACGAAAGGTACCGATATGGCATGTCGGTGCGTTAGATTTTTTTAAAATTAGATCTGAGATAGCGCGGGTCGGGTGACATCAAAATAAAGCCGTCCACGTCGCAGGGTCGGACACAAAAACTGTTCAACAATGTTGTATTAAATGTACTTTGTTATCGTTCTGTACCTTATGAAGCCACCAGATTTCCGATATTAAAAAAGGAATGTTTGGTTAAAAACACTATCTATTTGCTCTACTGTTATTTTCATGCATTGAAAACATACTAATCATGCACGTGTAACAGTGTAAAAATCTGCAGTCAACTTGGTTCAAGTATAACAGCGGCGCCGGCCCTTCGGAAACCTAAAGTCTCACACCAAAGATCGGGTTACGGGAGAGAATTTGCGTACCGCGGGATATCCCGATAAATCCCGCAGGAGGTCCCGCAAACTCGCGTAGGAGATCCCGCAAACTCCCGCGTGATATCCCGCAAACTCTTGACTTGATGCTTATTCCGCGAACTGTACTATATGCCCTTGTATTAAAACCAAACGACCTGAAATTTGTTATAGATGTGTCTTAGGCAAATGCCAAATGAACTTAAGACATAGTTTGGCATACACCACTATAAAATTGTGTAAAATGGGTCTTTTTTTGCTATGCCCAAAGAACAGGGCTAGCAATGCCATGCGCGATTTATTATGGTACTCAATTTTTTTTTAGATAAGTTTTCTTCCTGGGCAAATTATATATTTTGCTCAGAAAGGCCCAGTTTTCTGGTAAGAAGGACAGAAGAATGTATATTTTTAAAATATGGCCAAAAAGTGTGACATTTTTTATTGTTTGACCTGTTATTGACCTCTAAATACTTGTGATCTCCATGCCGGTATCCAGTAGCTCATCGTCTTGGGGGTTCCATCTCCGCTTTGTTTATTTGAGGATTAGAGGCAAAACAGATGAGTTTGTAATAGGCTATCGTCTGTCAACAGCATAACTTGAGAAAGCTTAAATGGATTATCTTGATATTTAGTAGGTGGGTAGGTCTTGATGAGACCTGAAAAATGATTAGATTTTGGACCCCCTGGCGGCTTGTTACCTCCATGAAAATGGAGGTAATGTTTTGGCGCGTCTGTGTGCGTGTGTGTGTGTGTGTATGTATGTTTGTGTTTCCGCATATTTGTACCTTCATAACTCCATGACGACTTTATGGATTGTGATGATATTTAGTATGCTGGTAGGTCTTAGGAAGACAAAGGTCAAGGTCAAATATGGGCCTCCTGATGGATGACCTTAGTACTGCAGCAGCACTTCCGGTTTTTGTATCTTTTGTCCTGAATATGCTATGGTCTTGATTTTTTGGTGGCAGATAGATTGTCCTGTCAGGAAAAATTGGTGTGGGTTTGGTCCCCTTAGCAGCTTGTTCTGGAACTGCAGGGGACTTTCGGGCGAAATCCAATAAATCCAATAAGTCCAGATAGAAAC